AAGATATTGCTCATGTAATAAATCAAACACAGTGGCATCCCGCATACCTCTTTTCATTTTTGAAAACGCTCCCTTATATACACTTACATTTATATATGACATGAATAACCAATTGGAAGCTCAGAATGTCCCCCTAGTGGTTTCTTAGCCATTTTAAGGTATGTGGACGCCATCTTTTTCTTTCGAACCAAGATTTCAAGGTGTTAGGTTGTGTCTTTACTCTGCTCAAAATTTCATATTTTTTAGACTGAGATACAGCTTAGTTACTAAACTTAATAAATTATAGTGGAATTTATGGTATTCTATATAGTAATTTATGATTTTTGGTTATTGAGTTGTATATATAAAACCTAAAAAAATTCTTTCATTTCATATCCTTTACGTGCAAAATTTTAAAAGGCTTAGCAACCTATATCAAGCAGCAAATGAGTACAAAGGTCATAACTAGAAGAGATAATTGTTTGCTTTACTTCTGTATTTACTGTTCTATGTTTGAAGAGAAATAAGTTTAAGAACATTTTTGTAAATAGCAATAATCTATATACATATATAATGTATAATAATTGAAATGTGACTGTATTTTACAAAATACTAGTCTACTAAAACACAGCCAAGACAGGTCAGTTTTATATTACTGGACATGGTAACGAGTCCACATGTGCCACGTCATTGTAACTTCTGTATTCTTTACCAGGCACAGCCAAAAGGTCAATATAATAAAAATATATATATAATGTATAATGTTATGAGATTTAAGCTATTTAGTCTAAATCGTGTTATAATTTGTCATTCCAGAATGAAAGAGGCATAATTTATATTTATTTCCTAATTTTTTATGGTGGTTATGAGATCGGTCAAATTTACCAAACCCATACAGATTTGTTACTGAAAATAACAAAAAAAAACATAGTTTCTTTCTTAAGAAATGTTTGTTAAATATCTGGATGTTATAAAGATTTTGCATCTGATTACCACTTGATTACCACCAACAGTGATCTGCCTCAAGGATCACCAAGTTTTCCAGTCCTCTTCAACATCTACATCATGGATCTAGCCTACACTAACAGTCCAACCATATGTCATGTGCTAAACTTTACTGATAACATTTTGGTGTACAGCATAGACTCTATGAAAGCTGAAATCAAAACAAGATGTAACCATCCATTAGCAGGATGAGAAAAAGGTGCAATGACACACAAGTGGTCATCAATTCTACCACACCCATGTTCTGCACACTCAACAATGGACTTGCTGATGAGAAAAAATCATCACCATCATTTGCAGACATGCTAACCCTCTAGAAGAAACCAGGGAATGCCTTTGACAGAGAACTAAACTTTCCACAGCCACATTAATTCCATGACAACCAGAGCTATCAAAGACATCAACACACTGAAAGTTGTGTAAGGAAATGAGAGCTAAAGAACATCATCAATTTATGCTCATTCCATTCTAGATTATAAACTACAAGTTATCATTATGAGTGCTACACAGCTAGATAAAATTGAAAAGCTACAAAACATCTGTTTAAAACTTGTCATGGGCTATACTTCAGCCACCCCATCAAAGCTCTATTATACCTCACAACCTTCAGCAGCATCAAACAAACCACTTATAAGCAAAATTTTTCACTAGAGCCTTGCGATGTAAAGACCATCCATTCCATCATTGAGCCACTGCCCTTTTTATCTGGGGCATTCCAGCTCCACAATGACCCTTAAGACACCAACCAAGCAGGGTATTGCCTAAAAGACACCTCAAGATACAAATATGGGTTGGAATCTGCTATACAGCCACCACTATAATAATTTCTCACAGCCAGACCTCAGATGTCCCCATGTTAAATGGGCATCTGGTACCACTGGGATCTAAGGAAATCAACCTAACCAGAAAATGTAGAATTTGGGCAAAGAGTAAAGCAGAAATAGCCTGTCAGCGTTTATCTAAAGACCATGGTGGGCAGTCAGGTGTCACCAATCACATGTTGTTCCTACACCAAAGACAGCAAGAGAGCTGGTTGGGCATTTATTTTCTCAAAACAACAACATTATATAGAAGGCTAGTGGAACATTCAAGCTTCCTACAAGCAGCACAAGAATGAAGCACTCTCTCCTCTGGATTGCTGAAAGCAACAAACTGCAAATGGATAGTGCCACCAATATAATAGTTGCAACTGACTAATGGGCAGTATTGCATTAAAATTCAGATTGGTTGGTCCCCAACAGCAGAATGGTAGAAATAATGGCTGGAGACGGCTTGAATGGGTAATGAAGAAAAACTTTAATATAACAGCAAATGTACAGGTCATGCAGGGGTAATGATACATGAAGAAAATAACAAAAGCTCATATGAGAAACCCCTTTATCATATCCAGCACACTTCTAATGGCAAGATATTGACCTCCTCTGCACTGGCAAGTTCAAATCTGTAACCATGGAAGGTCTTCATCGAAATTCAGAGAGAATGAAACTGCTTAAAACCAAAAGGGCATTTGGTGTAATTACAAAAAGCAAAAGAGTTGATTTCATTAGTTAATTTAAATTCTGATCAAAATTTCTGAATCATATTTAGTGTCTTTACTCTAGTCAAAATCTAATGCTTAAGATGGTTTACAAACATTTCAACATATAAAAATAATCATAATAAAATTATTGTTAACTTTATGAATTTTAATATTTTGGAAGTAGTTAGGGCATGAGGTATCTAAAATGTACACACATAGGATATTTTAATTGGTATAACTATGATGCATAAATGGTTACATAATGTTTATTTTTATAACAAATTTGTAAACCTGCCTAGCAATAGTAGCATATGACAGCTCATTATTTTTTAATGTTTTTGCTAAGTTTATCAACAACATTAGCAATACAAGTTACAACTACCGCTATTATTGATGATAACTAAATAAGTGCTTACTTAATTGAAATAAAGGTAAGCTTGCAAAATTGAATATATATATTTACAACATATTTATAGTACATTAATAAATGATATATATATCAACAGATTTAGATGGTTAGGCCTAAGAAGCTTCGGTTATTGATTATATTAAATATATATATATATATATATTATATTTAACAGGCCTGCCTCTAATACTAAGTCTACACTACACAGTCTATACACTGGAGTATCTCTAACGTCGGCTCGGTTGCCAAGTCGCTTCGATTCCGAAGTTGCTCACGCAGGCCGGTTGAAATGTTATGCGCACGATAAGCCTAATATTCGTCGATGCAAAAGTTATAATATCTCAGGTTAATTGACATATATTTACAAGATATAGCAGATTAACTCTTACTTGATCAATCGGAAGGCCTACAATCAAAGCTAACCATTCGAAAGTTCGCGAACCTGCGTAAAATTCTCTTCCACTCGCCATAATTTTCGTAACTAATACAATTTGTACTAGTACCTGTGACACCAAAAGACGAAGATATATGAAAGACGTAAAGTAACTGTTCTTGATTGCGTCACACAAAAATGATCCAATAGCCTCAGTCTAAGAATAGTACATCATACTGTAATAATAACATACAACACTTCATTGCCATCAGCATAACTAAAAAACAACAAATAAAATTAGATAAAAACGTTTTTGTTAGTTGAATAATTTTCACAGCATAAAATTTGGAACTGATAGAGACATTATGCAGTGTTCTATGTATAATGTTATGGGTACCACTGAGATCTAAATGCTTATAATTAAACCTGACTACGCAAACGATTAAGAGTTAAGATTAAGGGAAGGGTAATTCATATACATATACCATAAACAGTTCTTATACAGCCCTTTCTTCTATGCTCATTTATCACCAACACAACTTATAATAGTGGTTTGTGACAAGCAATGTTGAGCACCATTTATCAAACAACATATATTTTGAAAATAAAAACCTGTATTATGTAGTAGCAGAGTTCTGGTTAATGGTTATCTAATTGTCCATCATGTACGCCTCTCTGTTTTGCTAAGTAGGTGAAATCCAAGAAAGGGATGGGTTACGTTATTTTATTACGTGATCGGCCTTAAGTTTCAGGTTAACTGTGTACCACCAGTACTATTTTTACGAAAAACATGCTTAAGCATACTGTCTGAGCATTAGAGTTGACATGAACGGTATTTATGTTACATTCAAACTACATCATAATGGTTACTTAGTTTTCTCTCGAAAATTTCTTAGCCATTAAGTCCAGTAGAAGTTTTGTAAATGACTTGTTTGTTTGTTTTACTGAATTTCTTGCAAAGCTACTCGAGAGCTATTTACTATTAAATTCAATTAGATAACATATAACGTGTATTTGAACACAGGCCCCTCTGGGCCCGGCATGACCAGGTGGTTAAGGCACTCGACTCGCAACCTGAGGGTCGCGGGTTCGAATCCCTCTCACACCAAACATGCTCACCCTTTATAATGTGACGGTCAATCGTTGGTAAAAGAGTAGGCCCCAGTGGCACAGCGGACTTACAACGCTAGAAACCGATACCCGTGGTGGGAAGTGCACGGATATCCCATTGTGTAGCTTTGTGCTTAATTTCAAACAAACAAATTTTACACATATATGTTAACTGATTTAAACACATATATTGTTTGATAATAGGTGTGATATTATATCACAATAAGAGTGATAATATTTCAATCACATTCTCATTTACCGATCCGATACAATTTGTTTGTAATTAAGCCCATGGCTACACAATGGGCTATCTGTGCTCTGTCCACCACTGGTATCGAAACCTAGTTTCTAGCATTGTAAGTCCGCAAACATACCGCTGTGCCACTGGGGAGCAGTCCGATACAGGTTTCTACTAAGAAATATAAGTAATAGCATTTCAGTTACAATATGTTCATCAGACAGATTGGTTTCAGACAAAGAAAGTCGAAATGCTAATTATAGTGATATACTATCTAATAGAATATGCATGCTTCACTATTTTACACATTTCGAATATAGTTCAGTAACCCTATATGCAACAGTCACTTAGGCTTCTTTTTTTTTAAAGTATGGAGACATTTTAACGGAAATGAAGCATATGTAGTTGATTTCAAGCGTTTCTTAGGCTAAAACCTGTAAGCTTTAAATAATTAGATTTGTTGATACACATTACAGCCATGAGCAGAGCTCCTTAGTCCAATTTTTATCAGTATCTCACACTTAACAAGCTAAGAGTTAGTGGCTCATAAAAAACATATGAGTCTACAAAGAAGCCTCTGGAAACGTTTCCCATAATGACTTCAATGAACTTCTCAGTCCTGCGCCTGTTTCTTTAAGAGACTTAAAAACAGTTGCTGAAGTCTTCTATTACCTGATCTAAGATTTCGTTATGGAACTGTTATTTAGCATACCTTATCTAGCAATAAAGGTTGATATGCTTATTTTATTAAGTGAATAAAGTGGACTCAACATTTTGTGAAAAATATCTTCTTTTGGTTGTGTCAAACTTATTTACACTTTACCAACTTATGACACTCTTGTTATTGTATTTCAATAACAGTGTTGGAGTTATTGATGAGAATTTCTTATTCCAGCTTTACTTTGATTTGTTTTTCTGTGTTAATATAAATTCTCATTAACCATAAGCTTAAACATTTTAATATCATGGAAAGACAATTTTCAATTTGAAGGACCTATTGTAATGAGGTAGAAAAGACAAAACATGTACTGGACTGGGGATTTTTTTCTATAAACTTGCAATTAAGCAGGAGAAAGTCCCTTCCTGGATGTATATTGTTCTACTGAACTCTCCATTGAGCCCTGAAATAATTTATGATCAATCCATTGTTCCAAGTAGTGAACCCATAGATCAGAACATCTCAAGCTGTTGTCCAGGTGACTCTTCTGGCTTCAATCTAACAAGAAAGGAAAGATAGTATCCAACAATCACCATGATGAAATCTGTCCATTATAAATCTCTACAACCAATAGGTCTTTGCCCCCATTATTGTTTAGGTTTCTTGTGATTATGAGATTGTAGATGATACTGGAGAATGATGCCAACCTGCCGGAGCTAGGTCACCATTAGATGAGGTGGTGGGCATCTCGAAAAGAATGAGGATAACTGACACAGTTACGAGTTCTCTTGAGAGGAGAAACAGGTTGCTGAAACCAGAGGTTGACTAAAGACTAAGCAGAGTTGCCTGATTAAACGTTAAGAATGATGATACTTTCTATGCAAATAAAGAGCCAATAATGTTTGCTAATGCTGTAGCTTCTAGGTACTGAGAAACCTGAGTACAGACAGGCACTTTATTGGATGTCCTAGCGCTAACCTCTCCCTGAGTTAGTCATCTATCTGAATTTCCCTTCTCCTTAAAACTTCTATCTATGTGTTTACAATTTAAATGCCAACCAAACTACTGTGAAATCTTCTTTCCCTGGGATAGTCTACCTAAGTCTCCTGCTAAACTTCAAACTGTGGAAGAGAAAACAATTGAATTATAACAAATTATACAACAAAAAAAGTACAATGTTGAAACAACTCAGAAACGACAAGAGCGAGCCTACAGCTATGAGAAATGTACTGTGGCATACAAAGTATGTGTTACGACAGCAGAGGTCATGTGACGCTAGTAACACGTCATATTCTCGAAGCTTCGTGAATCCTCGGGAGGTTACTAGATGTACGGTATTCTTTTATATAAGACAGCCAAAAAGTGACGGCAACAATGTAATGTTAAGTGAACTGCGGACAGAGGGAGAGTATTGTTGAGTCGAGCACGTGAGACGTTCGTTGTGAATTATAGCGTTTGCTAGAGCGCGACTGTTAAAATTAAGTGTATTGCGAAGTTGTATTCAGAAAGGATAAACTAGTTTTATTTAAGAAAGGACTTGTATCGGTAAAGTTTC